CACACACACACACACACACACACACACTGATTGTAACACTTAGAGTAATAGATAATCAGATTGAGGTAAAGGTTGCTTAGATGTGACACGTGAAACAAATACCTTTGCCCATGCAAGCTTCTCCTTAATGACTTCATTGTCTGGTTCAACATGACGTGCAAATTTCAGATTGCTGACGGTGTACTCATGACCGCAGTAAACACGCTAAAAAACACAAAAATATATGAATTCATATATAATTTATCAGATGATTACATTTTTAAATTCTCCAATCAGTGAACGTAAGAATGATTAATGTCTTCAGTGTTATATTCAGATTTTTAATAACAGCTCTTACACTCACCTATACAGATGGAGTATATTTACTTACTGTTTCAGGAGGCAGTCGTCCCAGGATTTCTATCAAGGCTTTGTACATCTGCTCTGCTGTACCCTCGAAGAATTTTCCACAACCGGCCATGAAGAGTGTGTCGCCTGCGAGAACATCAAACAAACAGTGTCCTGAGGCCTCATAGGTGGCACATGACAGAGGACTGACAGAGGGTCGTTACACTCTCGAAACCCTTTAATCTGTTAAGCTTGACGAGTCTGTCTTTATGTGGCCTTTGTGTCATATGACCCAGTATTTACTTGTACTGTTCATCTGATCAAAAAGGTTAATGTGCCTAGATGTACCTGTGAAAACAGCTGGTGGCTCAGTGCTGTTATCCTTTGTCACATAGTAGCAGATGTGGCCAGTGGTGTGACACGGTGTGAACAGGCATTTGACACTGAGTGATCCAAGCTGGGGAAGAAGGACACCAGAGAGAACATCAGTCATCTGGGGTTTGTATCTGGATTGTAGGATATCTAAGGTGACTTAAGGAGTCTTACTTTGAAACTGTGGGAATGAGAAACTTTCTTTGTAAGAGCATCTACTCTGTCGTCTCCTCCATAGACCTTTAGTCCTGGCATGAGCCTCACCATCTTCTCGTTTCCACTAGCATGGTCCCTGAGAAGAGAACATGATCAACGTCTTGTTGTGTATTTAACACTTAAACATATTGACAATTAAATTAAATCAAACCTATGTATTAGTGAAATAAAACGTTGTGGCCTACCAGTGGTGATGGGTGGTTAGAATTGTTGTGAGTTTTACACCATGTTTTCTAACAGCCTCCACAACCTGTTGAAAGAACAAACACAATAACTGAAATAATGCTGTAATGTTCAGTTAGTTAATTAATCTGAAGAAAAGTAGTCAGACTATGTTGATAATTAACATTGATCAAGTTAAAAAAATAAAGCTGAATATCCAACTGTGTGTTTTGAATTATTACAATTTTAATAGGTTTTGGACTGAAGATGTCTCATTGAGTTCATTACTTTTAGACTATTTACAGATTAAACAATTATTTTAAAATTTCAAAGAAGATAATTATTAGCGGCAACCCTATATGGAAGAGCCTTTACAAAAGTACGACAGTGTGCAACAATACAAACAAGCTCAATGCAGGGTCACATAAGCACATGCATTAAGAGATCAAGACTAAAGGTGCTTGTTAAAGAAAAGGAGGTTTAGAATAATGTTTATATACATTCAATTTTATTGAATTATTATTTCTATTTTTTAGCTGCATTTTGATGTGGCAGCTGCCTGAGATTGGTTAGTTAAATATGTGAAAATAATGCACTAAATGGTTGAGTCATTTGACAATAGTCAACCATCTCACACACACACACACACACACACACACACACACACACACACACATATATATATATATATTACATGATATTACAATGATGTAATGTTTAAATTGTATAAACAGGGCAGTAATGCATTTTATAAAATGCTAGATTTCTGACAGATCATTTCAAGTGCGACAGGTAGAGATGCAGAGTAAAATGGAAAAAGAATACTCAGGTACAGGGACTTTAAAACTTGTGCACACTGTACTGGTGTAAATGTAATATGTGCACTGACCTTTATTGGCTCCACGGGGTCAACAATCGCGGCCTCTCTGGAGTCCACATCGATCAGGAGGTACATGTAGTTGTCACTGAGAGCTGGGAGAAGTTCAACCCTCATGTTTGCTTGTTGCACCACGGATGATTTCCTCACTGCGCCGTGAAGGAGAGCGGCTGCCTGGGCCTGGACCTCCACAGGAGCTGCACCGGTGGTCAACGAGAGGCAGAGACAAATGTCAGACTGACACGAGGACACCTCCGGCTACTGTGCTTTTACTCTTCAACACTGTGCTGTCGCGACAAGCCTGAAAACGGGCTAATCACTCATAAATAACACTGGTATACAACGTTTAGCTTCGATGCTAACTGTAGAAATAAGAGTTAAAATGTGTCAGCTGGTGGCACAACACTGATCTGATGTGACCGCGACAGACAGAGATTATGTAAGAGGAAGTGTTTACTGAGACAGGCCAGCTGTGATCGTCCCTCAACCCACGACAAAAAGGTAAACACAGCAAAAAAACATACATAACATTCACGTACAGGCTAACTAGCATGCTAGGTGTGCTTGCGATCAAGGGGGTAAAGCAAGCAAGGACGTACCTAGTTTAAACGCTGTCGCAGCTCCTAACAGAGTGCACGCACCCCGGGCCAAGGACTTGAATAACATCATAATAGCATTAGCAACCTTATCACATTCGCGTAAACCAGAAAAGTTTGGTTCTGGCTCACTTCCGCATCCGCCCCCTTTTCAACACCGACGTCCCAGGCTCCACCAATCAAGCGCTGGGGAGTCGATCGTTAATTATTCCCTGTGAAAAGTTCGTTGTTTGCGTAATTTTAACGAAGGATCCGTATGAATGCGTTAGAGTATGTATGAGGATTTTAGTTTTGCATCTTAGCCTCGATAAACACCTGAAAAATAAGATGTCATAATGGCGATTTCACCTTGAAGTTGTCCCTCCTGGCTGTCCGTAGGTGAATCGTCTGTCCTCGGTGGGTCAAAGTTGAGCTGAGCTGGAGCTGACTGCTCCCGAGCGGCTGACACCGACAAGTTCCTGCACATTCCTGCACAATGACAGCGAAAAACATCTCTCGTTTCTGGGAATGGGGGAGGAAGATTATCTGCGTGGGGAGAAACTACGCGGATCACGCCAAAGAGCTGAAAAACGCGATCCCCACGGAGCCCGTCCTGTTCCTGAAGCCCCCGTCGGCATATGTCAGAGAGGGCTCCCCGATCCTGGTGCCCGGGTACTCCGGCAACCTGCACCATGAGGTGGAGCTGGGGGTGGTGATCGGGAAGGGGGGCACGGCCATCCCTCAGTCTGCCGCCATGGAGCACGTCGCCGGCTACGCGCTGTGCTTGGACATGACAGCCCGGGACGTCCAGGACGAGTGCAAGTCCAAGGGTCTGCCCTGGACCCTGGCTAAAGCCTTCAACACCTCCTGCCCCGTCAGCGAGTTCATCCCCAAGGAGCGCATCCCCGACCCGGGCAACGTGAAGCTGTGGCTGAAGGTGAACGAGCATCTGCGTCAGAGCGGCTGCACCTCCCAGATGATCTTCTCCATCCCCTACCTCATCAGCTACATCAGCGACTTCATCACCCTGGAGGAAGGGGACCTCATCCTCACCGGGACCCCCAAAGGAGTCTCCGCCGTGCAGGAGCACGACGAGCTGCAGGCCGGGATCGAGGACGTGGTCACCATGAGCTTCAGGGTGGACAGACGAGAGCAGTAGTGAAAACTATGAAGAAGAAACTTTCATGATGAGGGGGAGACAAATAATCAGACTGACGAGGAGAAAGTGATTTGACTGCAAACCTGAACCTCACTGCTTTTAAATCTCCTGTCAGGGTCTGTGTGTGTCAGCAGGTGGCAGTGCAGTGCCACACAAGAGACCACATTTCTGATAAATCCAATATTCAGAGTTTGACTCTGAACAACATCTTGGTACCTGACGATGAAATACTGTGTAGTTCTTATATCTTTCACTTACACCAAAGAAAATCAATCGTCACACCATCTTTGTCTCATATCACCAAACTTTTACTCAGATGCAATAATATTTTGATAAAGATGTTCTTGGAAGTAATTCAAAATCATCTTGAATGGGGACGCTTACCTAGAAGTACCACAAAATTACAGACAATGCAGTACTTGAGTAAAGGTACTTTAATAATAAATGTTTTCACTGATATTATGGCTGTATTTTTTCTGGCCTTTATATTTCGGATAAAATCCTTCTCACACTGCAGGATATTTCCTGCTGTCACTTTAAACAGCACAGTCTGAATGTATGTGGTGTATTGGAAGTTAAACAGTTTATCCCAGAGGAGTTCCAGTTGAGAAAATAGTTGTATCAGTGAGGAAGCTCAGGGGACTGACGGTTTGGCACCGTCTACCTGTGGTTCCTCTTACATTCGGAACACATTGTGCTGCTGGTCGGATTAGCCGAGATGAGTTTTCCTCACCAAGTCTGATGGAGTCACATTTAAACAGTGATATTTTTATAACTGGCTCACTGTAAAACGTGTCAGTCCGTCAGTAAAAAGAAAAAAAAAGGTAAAAAGTAAATGTTATGGCTTGTGTTAATGATTCAGTTCATCCGGTATATTTTGGACTTTCAGTCTTTGTAGCTTCATCATAACCGCGTTCTTCCAGGCCTGTTTAACATCTGTTCCAGGTTCAGTTACGATTCTCCCACAGGCTTCCTTGTTTTTAAGATCAATCAGTGCCTCCGTCAACCTGTCCCAGGCCAGTCTCTGTAACCTGAGTCTGTGTACATCATCTCTCCACACCTGCAGGGCACGTTATCTCCGAGGCTCACACTTTACCCAAACCCCGACCCTCAGGGGACTCCGGGTTCTACACGTCCATCATTAGAACAGTTATGACAGATTCAATTAGATTAAGGATCTGAGAAACGTAGTTGTGACCTTTTTTTCCCCCCAACCATATTAGAACAGAGTTAGAGCAGTGTAGGGTATGGCCTGTGCTCACAGGTGTTGTCTTTTATGAGATATGAATCATACTATTCATTGTCCCCGTGTGACTGAAGGTATTACACCCTTACAGATTTTAACAATGCCTTCAAAGCCGGAGCTCAGCTCTGGTTTAGCGTTCACCACGTGAAACGGTATGTTGTCATCGAGCAGAAGCCTTAGAAGGTGTATTTGACGCTCTCAAAGCAGTGGGGATTATGTAGAGACCACAATCACACACACACACACACACACACACACACACACACACACACACACAATGATGTCATTCATGACATGAAATCAAGCCAGGTGGTAACTGAGCCCAACTGTGGAGACTGGAGGGAATCTACTTGTAGACAAAGTAGATTTTCCACCACACCCTAATATTTTAGAAATAGGTGTAGATATAATGGATTTCCAATGTCAGCAGCAAGGATCAAACGATGCTGCTCTGTCTGTCCACCTCTTTAGTCCACACTGAAATATCTAAACAACTATTAGATGGATTGGCACAAAATCCTTGGATCTCAGGTGACAACAATATAAATCCCTTGGTTTGCCCTAAGGATACATTTTAGTCTCATCGTCGGTAATATCTTAATTTTTAGCCCAGCATCATTTTAAGGTGACAATTTTCGTTTGTCCAATACTTTGGTTTATGAAATACCTGCATGCCAACATGATAAACGTTGAGATTTTCCATTATTAGTCCCACTATGGGTAAATTTGCGATGTTACAGTAGTAGTAATAAACAAATGCCACTCAGAAGGGTGCATACCTCCTTCAAGGCCCCACAGTCCCTTTAAATGAAATACCAAAATGAGCACAGTACTGTCTACTGAGGTGGATGAACAGTACAGTCCCAGAATTTGGTGCATGTGGTCCACTGCTACTACCTGCATGTGCATTTTATCAGCATTACTTTGACATGTGTCTGCTGTGGGCCTCCAAAGCATCTGGATGCGAGGACATTTAAACTCTACATCTGCTGCGTGTGAGGGCAGAGAGGTGCAGATATAGACTTTAAAACGACAAGACGAGATACACGCATACAACACGTGAATGTGAGGCTTGTTTTACACCAACTGTGACACGCCACATGTGACATATTACCACATGTGTTAAAACATCTGTTTGTAGCCATCAGTCCATCAGTGAGTTTATTGTGGTGGAATCTATCATGTTAGAGGTGATTAGGTCAAATCTCCTGCAGGTTCACAAGGAAAAATAACTTGAACATGAACACAGGCTTGAACATGTGAACACTGTTCAGATGGACTCTCGGTGTGTTGCACTTAAGTCAGGCTTTACCTAGTGCATCACACATACACACAGTGTATATTAAAAATAAAATGCACAAATGTTGCGATACAGCGACTTGGTTGAGTGAAAGGTATCCAAAAGTTTGAAGAGATTTTATATTTAGTTTTTGTAGGATGCATTGAAGCATTGTCTACGTTTTACAGTGTAGCAGTGTGTGTGTTTGCCTCTTCAGATAATAACCATTCGGGATAGGATGCCTCTTTGTGTGTAGCACTGTATGTCACGAGGCGGTGCACATGCAACCATTGGAGGGACTGAGTCAGAGTGGATGCATATGACATATCACATCAGAAAGACACCGAAAGTGCACCACATGGCCACGAATCTGATCTTATTTCACTTTTGGAAAGTCAAAGCAACTAATGCATGCGTCTGCACTGGATACGGCTCATCTTCTTTTCATGGGTCAGAAATCATCAGCATGTTTTGACTAATTCAAACAATTACAATGTGTTCAATGATCCAGTTTGTTCCACTGAATGAATAATTGAGTGTTTTTGGTATTTATAAATCTTAAACTACACAGGAAATCAAGAACCAATTTGTGATTTTATAGGATAAGCCATGAAACCATGATCTATTCTTGTGGAATAATGAATGGGATCTTTGGCAAATGAAAAGAAACCATCCATGAAGGCCACGTGCAAGCTCCTTTCTTTCAGAGTGGTTAACTGCATGTGTGTTAACATTATGCTTTAAGACGCAGGTGGAAAACAAAGTGGGCAGTGTACCATGGAGCATAATTTAGGTTTAACAACTAAACACAATGTTTGATTTGAGCATCCTTCTTCCACAAGTGTTTCCATGAGAGTTCCTTCCATCCATTTGGCAGAAGTTAATACCTCAGTTAATACCTCATCAACCAAGCGTAAGCATCTCTATAAACTCAAGTTTTCCAATCAAGGCCCAATGAGGAGACCATGGTGCATTGTCGACCAAAATGGCAACAGTAGCATGTGCTGAAACGTGTCCAAAAAAAACGAGGTTGTAAAATCCTATTGTAAAACATCTTAATCCCATACTTCCCCTCAAAAGTTTCTCAATTTATGTTGAGCTACCATGATCATTTGAAAATCTCCCAACCCCCAAATTACTCTCTCATCAATTAAATCTGCCATCACAGTTTAACAAGATGCTGCGAGGCCCAAACCACAGAGGAGAGAAAAAAATCCCCGAACATTTCTTCCTTGAATCGAAGGAGACTGCGGTATGGGTGGAAAATGTGTGGAGGCCTCGGTATGAACCGTCTTCATTTGTGGCTGCTTGATGGGAAACCACTTTTACACTCTAATCCTACTTTTCTATCTGCTACACAAAAATCATCCCCCTTTTCCTTCAGAGTGGTTCATCCTTCCCTCTGGGTGTTTCTAATTAGTCTGACGTGCCCATTGTTCCCCAAATAAGAATCACCATACAAAATATGCATCCCGCTTTATCTCAGTAGTCACGTACCTCAGTCTATACTGGCCGATTCTTGCTCATGCAACAAATCCACAATGGTACAAATCGATGTCATGCATTCATTTGTGGGCGTGAGTCCTTGGGAGCTTCAGAGCAAAACAAATCGCTGAGATCGGAGGATATGGAGCTACGAACCTGAAGTTTATTGTCTTTTAGTTGTTTTACAGTAATTCTAACCAAGATTATTTTGTCTTTTTATATGTACCCACTTTTGAACTGGATTCAATTACGCGGGCAGACGCCAGAATTTTTATTTCACTCTCTGTAACATTGTGAGAATGTTTTGTGAATTTCTCAAGAAATAATGCAGAGATCCTGATGAAAAACATTATATTCAGGGGACTGATATCCAGGAGCAATTAAATGTGGCTTGAATGAAGGGGATTAAAAATGTTGAAAAAAAGTTTTTCTGAATTGTTTTACTCTGCAGAGTTGAATTTGACAATGAACTTATAAAGACAAGTTAAAGACATTCAGGTTCTGCTTTTTTAGTTGTATTTTAAAGTCCTGGAACTACAACACCCCTGTACTCTAGAATCATGTATTCTGTGAATTACTGTACACCTAAAATATTGTCGACAGAGTCATAAAACACGACTAAATGCTGGTGGTGTCCACAGATTCCTGTGGCAACCACAAGTGGAGGCTGGCTGTTCATGAGCTCATATGTGTAAACACAAACCAGAGCCAATATTGTCAGACTTGTTTGCTCAGATCAAGTTATAGTTCAGTGAATGTGCAGTAGATCTCCACGTTCCACTTTTAGGGCATGGATTATCAATCATTCCTTCGTTTTTCATGCCTGTTCTTTCATTCACCTCAGTTGGATTTCTCACATCATTACCAGTGTTAAGTGACAACGGTGGATTATGTTGAATCTCCTGCTGATTTAATGAATGTAGTCCTGCAAATACTGTCGCTAACATCTTTGCCAGCTGTTGGACTGGCACAGTGAGGAAGAAAAAATCTGTATGACTGGTAATACCGAGTAATAAAAGTTGGCACAGATGAAGTGAGCCGAGCACATTTAGATTTTAGTGAGGCCCACTAAAAACTATTGCCAGACCTATAAAAAATAGAGGGGATATGACTTAAATACTGAGTGGAATTAGAGGAGGCGAGATGTATGGAGTGAGCCAGAGCCCTGTGTGTGTGTGTGTGTTTGTGTGTGTGTGCGCGTGCGTGCGTCCGTGTGTGTGTGTGTGTGTGTGTGCAATCAAGCACAAATAAAGACAGCAGCATGCTCATACAAGCAGCATGCTATTTTTACACTCATGAACCACTTACATTTCCATAAACAAAGCTCAGTCTTGATCGATTTGATTGAAATTTTTTGGTTTAATCATTGGTTGCAACCATTGGTTTCTCCTTTTTCCACATATTGTTATGAAAGCATGTGCAACTCAGTCAGTCGGTGCATTTTTCAGTTCTTCAGTGGGTTCCTTTTTTGGTTGTTCCACCCAAACAGATGCTTTTTTTTTCTTCTTCTTCTTCCATACGGCACAGTGTACCATGAAAGAGAGGAGCTCTGCTGCTAATTCTGAGCCCGGAGAGGAAAGAGGGGGCTTTTTTGGGTGAGCTGACATCTCTCATAATTAAAGGCCACAGCGCACGCAGACCTCAGACGGTACATGTGGCCTCACTGTGTGGAGGTGGCGAGAGGAAAAGCTGTGTGAGAGAAACTGATGAGAGGAAGGAAAGAGTGAGATCTCTCCCCGGGACGGCAGGAGAGAGAAAAGTTAGATCTTTATGTGAGAGAGCTATAGGGTTAAAGAGGAAATACACATTATATTTGTTTCTGCTCAAAAGGGCTGTTTACGATAAACACTAAGAATTTAACGTATATTTGTTATTTTACATATTACATGTATCTAGAGATGGAGGGTGTGTCTACACTTCCTTCCTCTATCCAGAAATGATGCCAAAATATCAAGGATATGAAAACTGCCATCTTGTGGATTTGGAGCCAGAGTCGGTGATGGAGGCAAGGTAGTAGTCGATCAGGATGTTTTCTTCCCGTTTTATGGCATCTAATAAGTCATTTATAGCAAACTCACCAGAAAAACAAATTGAACATACATCAGTGTGATAAGAACAACCTAAAATCACAGAAACCCCTTTTGAGCAAACATTTGTTAACAAATAGTTTGCACCGTGTCCCATCCACTAACATGAAGGAGGTTGGGTGAACAACCTATACTGCAGCCAACCACCAGGTGGCAGTTGAGAGGCTCTGGCTTCACTTCTGGGGAGCAGTCATGTCGTCCATCTTTATATACAGTCTAAGGCCCAAACCATTTGGTCTCTGGTAATCTAACTGCTGTAACACAGTTATTAGATGTGCTAGACTTTAGCACACTGGTGGTAGTTAGGTCACAGACAGGCGTTCAATTTTTTTCCTTAACTCTTGCTATTGGTTTTAGATGTCTCAATACTAAACTTTAACACATGGAAAAATCCAAAGCTTTAGTGAATGGTGGCCCAATTGTGCATGATTTGATATCTAGGTTCCCTCTACATGTTTTTTTGTTACAGAACAAAAAAGGATGAAACATAACAGTATAAGTGTCACATGACATAAAACTTTACTTCAAAACACATATAGAATCCGAGTCAGAATGACGGTTTTATACATACCACTGTGGTTTGCGGACTTTACATATCAAAAAAGCTTCAAAATAATCACAGATCGAAAAGGTACAATTTATTGTAAGTGATAAACAGTCCAAGGAAGTTGATCTTTCGATTTCGAGTGGAAAAACTACAACATGGAATCTGTGTATGTTTTGTTCTCTTAATAGTTTTAATTTTTTTATTTACAGATGAGGTATCACTGGTATATCTGCAATATACAGAGAAATATCATCATAATTAAGATATGTAGCATCTCTTAGGCCAACAGTAAATATAATGAAAATATAAATGCAGTAAAAAGAAATAGTGGTTTATTGTGGAGTGTGACATTTCTTACCGATGTGTTGTCAATGAACACATATTCTGTCTTGCCTTGTCATGCAATAAATACATTTCTGTCATTTAAAAACTGTGACTGTTGCATTTCAAATCAACAGAAACTATAAATATCATCTTATTTAATAGACAAAACATAAAGCAAGTAAAAAAGGATTTCCTAGGCAATGTTTTTTACTTTTTCTTTGGTACCTATTTTCTTTTAAACTTTTGTACATTAAAATACAACCAAGAGAATGGTTTAATAACTAAGCCATTAACTGTGTGTGTAACTTGCATATTGGCAGCACTGTGCGCATGTCATCTTCGACTCTACGACAAAACATGACATTTTGTGAGCGCTGCATGTCATGTCGATTCCACTGAGGCAGAACGGTCCAAGAAGTGTCCCAGACTTTGTATTCCTCTACATCGTACCTGAGAACATTAGCCCTTAACAGTCCCTCCAAAAAGTAAGAGGCTGTCTATATAATGCATCCTCCTGTGTTAGTCCCACCCAAAGTCTTGTCCACTTATCTGGTAGAAGTGGTGGTTGAAGGGCCTGTAGAAGTCTCTCAGTCTCTGGAGGACCTCGGAGGGGATCTGGGGATGGGGTCTGCCCTTTGACTTTCCAAGGCAGCGAGGTCTGCTGCTCCCCTCAGGCTTCTTCAAGCAGGGGAAACCTTTGGTCTGGTTAAAGTAGAAGTGTTTGTCTGAAACAACCCTTTTCAGACCCAGGAAGTCTTGAACCCGGCCCATCTCCCCAGCCGGATCGCTAACCAACCGCTCACCACTGACAAACAGAAAATGAGACAGGGGGAAGTGCTGCAGCCAGTTCTCCAGATGTTTAGCGTAGAGGCCGATGCGCACGGCGCTCCACGTGGTGTCAATCAGACCTGTGGAGGAGTTTTTCAAGGCCAGGCTCTGGAAGGATGGGAGGCCTGGGTTCTTGGACAGTGTCTGGGTGTAGTCAGACACCGCCCGGGTCACAGGATCCCTAACCACCACAATGAGCTTGGTTTGGCAGTTCATGGTGCAGACACGGCCGGGAGCCTCCTTCGTGACAAAGTAGCTGGGCGTTTTCTCCATGGTGATCTGTCCGTCCAGTGTCCGAGGCATCAGGTTCCTAAACGAAAAGAAATAACTGGTCAGATGCCACCAAATCTGATTGATCTCTCAAAACCAAAGTGAAAACACTTTTCACACCAAAACACCAAGCTGGTAAAATTCAAACAACTACCTATACTAATCCAGCGTTCATGGAGAACAGTTGCCTCTTACATCTGGAGTGGGGAGAGTGAACCAAAAATGTGGTGGGCTTTACAATCAGATTAATCAAAACTCTGGACATTTTCCGGAAGTTCAGACAGCCCCCAAGTAAAATGACTGGAAAATGAATGAGTGATTGAACCCATGTGAGAATATGTGTCCAAATAAGTGAGTGAGTAATGACGTTTCTAACACGTAACAGACGCAAAAGCAAAAGATAAAAGAGTTCATACGCGGCGATAAGGATGTCTACTTAGAAAGACCAGATTTGTGAGCATTTAGTGATAAGAGCCAAAAACTAAAACAGCAGAAATGTTCCAGACATTCTCCTGTTGTTGTAAACTCATCTATCCTGGACAATCTCAACATCTTCATTCTGTATGTGAAAGGTGAACCCCAGAACATCCCCTTGGCCCATCTTTCCAGACATTTTCCAGAGTATATGTCTGAAAACAGCTTTACTCTTTTGTCTCTCTGTAGAGCTGCGGGGAACTACCAGGTGATAATTCTCTCTGTGTGCATCACTACGAGCCATACCTCGGTCATATGATTAATTGTTCATATAAGATTATTGATTAATGCAGCTTTAAAAATACAAATTTTCTTTTTCACATAGTTACAGTTTGTCTAAAATGCACCAAAGGGAATAAGCTACATTAAAGCCTTTTTTACCCTTAATGTTCAACCAGAATAAATACAGGAGCAGCGACATGAAATCCAAGCTCATTGCCACACTTGCTAATTTAATCACGCACTGACTTTGGTAAAATAAAATCAAGCGATAATATAAACACATCATATACACTAGACATTAAAGCACCCCCAAAGTCTGCTGTGATTAAAGCTTCAAGCACTGTTCTGTGTTTATGTACAATGGCCCCAGACAGGCCCTCCGAGTCTCACTGTATGAGGCCTGCACAACAGCACCATCCACTCACTACAACTCGATGAGTCAAAACCACAAAGCCTCAAGAACCACTTAACAGCAATTTCCTACAGATTTCCAACCCCCCATTCTTCCTGCAAGATCCGTCCCAAACACACACACTCACACACCTCCCCTACGGGCTCCTCCTGCAAGGACCCAAACAAAATCTGCAGGAAGTGGGACCAGGATGAAGCTGCTGAGCTCAGCTAGTGTGTTAAACATATGCCTGCAATAAGGAGAGATGCTGGGCAAAATATGCCAATGAAAATCCACATGTTGACTTTTTCTTTACTATAATACAGATATGTTTTACACAATTCCAAACTATTAATCACGTGCATGGCTCATCTTTTTTATATCCTTCTGACGCATTTGTATTGGTCAACAACATACCCCCTCGAACGCTGCTTCGGAAAGCTTTCTTCTCTAAAAAACATCTGCGCACATCTGCCGTGAGAATCTTTTTTCACATCAATATGATTCGACAGCCTCTCCTCACAGTTCAGAGTAGTTGTCCTGCATGTTACACACATTGTCTTCATTCCAGCACTCTCCGGCAAACAGGCATTGTGGGTATCGTATTCTGCAGATACGGTATTTGTCTTGTTTGTCTATGTTTGACACAGATGCATAAAGCGGGCTTGGGGTGACAAACGAAAGATGAGCAATGTTACAAACAGCAAATAAATTGTCTGTAGTGAATTCACTCAAAACATCTTATACTGTGTTACTGGAAACAGATCTTTCACGTAGCTTAATAGAAAACAAACATGGAGTCTCGATGCTTTATTTGTTTCAGATTGGAAGTCAGTGACAAGAGGCCATTCAGAAGTGTAGAAGAATGATGGATGCAGAAGAGAAATATATTTTAATGTTGTCAGTTATTAGTGAGCTCATATCAGTGATTAATGAAAGGCAGTATTCATAAAATCCATTGGGCTCATTGTTTGCAAGTCGGTACAAAAATAGCAGTTGGCAGCAGAAATGTATTTCAACCTTTGAAACTATTATCAGCTGAAAAACAAATGGACATCTTGAGTGCAGTTTGCCTGCATCTTTTAGTTTTTTTATTTCAGCTGTAAAGACAGGACTTAAGAGACAGACCCTCGAACATTTTTAAAACTCATAAGATAATGAATCATTCAATCATTAGATTGGGTGAGTTTCACCTCTTTACTCAAAGTTACGATGTCAACCCACTCCCCATTAAATGATACTCACAATAAAAATACACTAATTGATTATTATCCAAGTACAAAAGCTATAATGGCTTCACCCTGTCTGTCCCCTGTTTATCTGTGTCTGATCAATATGTCTGTCTCTCTATGACGGAGTGTTCAACTTGTGTGTGTGTGTGTGTGTGTGTGTGTGTGTGTGTGTGTGTGTTTGTGTTTGCGACACATTACCACTAAGCACAGAGGATTCAGTGTCTCCTAATGAGAAACTGAGCACTCATCTTCCTCTCTGCCCCCCTCCTCTCTCATCCAATGTCTTGGATTTGTCCTTCACTCCTTCACATAAGTGTCACTTCGATAATTGACCAGAAGTTGTCTCTTCAATTCTCATGAATAGTTAATGAATTGTGGCTTCTGTCCCCACCACTCTCCTTGGGTCTCTATCTCCCTCATCAGAATCTGTCTCATTATCTGAGAATCAATAAAAACCATTTTCTATCATAAATCTACCTGTGTACATGGTGTCAGGAGAAACTGTAAACAGATCAGGGGTGATTAATCTCTTGTCAATGTTCTTATACATGTACATTTATTCTTATGCTTTTACAAACACACCTCGTTCATTTAGCATCAGGAAATATGCATTTGAAACTACTGTTGTTGCAAATTATACAGCAGTACTGTGTTTCCAATATACATTGGTAATATTTATTGTTTTAGTGAGAAGGTTTCTTGCTTTTTTGGGGACCCATGGGAACGGTACGTTTGCTCACTAACTTATGCCAACATGTTGTTCAATTTGGGCTCCACTTTAAACAGAGATCCCCTCCAAAGAGGATTTTCACGGCACAGCCCTTTTCATCAAATCACAATTCACATAATGCTAGACTCCAGCTACTCATGCTAAGAGAGTAACTCTGGATGTTTTCTTCTGCGTGCAGCCCTGGAAAGCCTTGCTGACAAACCACATTAGTCTAGAACTCCCTGCTGTTAAAAGGATGTAGAGCTTTTCCTCCCTAAAGTGTTGCAGCACTGATTAATCTACTGATATGTTCTCTGCAGTCTGGGTCAGATGATTAAATACTAACGCTGGCAACAAGGATGTGGCCAAGAGACTTCCTGGCCCCCCTGAGATTATGGGTTCTCCCGCTGATGTGCTGCAGCTACATCCCTTTTAGTGCCCCAACAAAATGCATTGTGTACAGATATTAAAATGGATTTTTAGACCAAAAGAGATCCTAAAAATGATCATGTCATTTTCTGGACTACAGTCACGACTACATTACTTTAGCTAAATGCACATTTTTCGAGGGAGGATTACAATCTGAATCTGGCATGTCCAAACTGAGACCCAATTAAAGTGGTAGTGGAAAAAATTAATGCTATAAAAACCAGAAGTGAACAACAATCTGGAGGAAAACACTTCCCAGCAGTGCTGCTATGATCAGACTGTGACAGGAGGAGCCTGCGGGTCATGGAAGCCCCGTCAGGATAATTGTGGGAACCTCGATTTACGCCTGGATATAGCATTTACTACTATTCCCCTCTGACCAGAGAACAACAGAGACACAACAAATGAAATGCTGTGAGCTCAACAAGCAGCAAATAAACAGTTTGAAGGATGAGTTTGACATTTTTGGGAAAAAACTTATTTTCTTGACTGGAGTTAGATGAGAAGATTGCTACTACTCAGTACATATCTGACTAGCTCCAGACACTAACTTTAGCTTAGTATACAGACCTGGAAACCTAACCTGGTTAAGCCTAAAGAAAACAAAAAAGGAGGACCTTGTGAACCTTGACACATTCTATCGCATCTGTTTTCAGTACAAAGAGTAAAAGTGATCAATTGCAGTTTTATTTATGAGGTTTTGTGTCAGATTTCTTGGCAAAGAGCATCAATATGTGGAACTATCCACTGATTACCTGGTAAACTGAAAGAAACGCCAAGATATAACCATCAATAAAACTAAAAGTTGTGTTTATGGATGAACTTTTCTTAACTTTTCAGTCAGGCTAGCTGTTCGCACCTGTTTCAAGTCTTTATGCTGAGTTGAGCTAAATGGCTACTGTCAGTCCACATTTACTCATGATAGCCTTCAACCAAAACTGTAAAATGATGAAGCAGAATAGAAGCATGGGGTCTTGTTTGGGGGTTTAACCTGGGCAGACGCAAAACCTGAAAGTTGAATATAAGCATGCATCACCATGCTACTGATACAGTCAGTGTGATAGTATCCAAGATCCTGCGCACACAAGAGGAGTCGTCATTGTTTTTGGAACAGTAAGGGCGAGTGCCGCCATGCTGTCTATGTGCTCATTGTCCAAACAGAAACCTGATGCAAGCGACAAGGCCTCATAGTGTCTGTCAAAGGTGAACTGAAACACAAATTAACAATGATAATGCCAAATGTAGCCTGAGGACGGGATTCAGACTGAAAAACAACTTATTAACACATTTTCACAATGTGTATCAAACTTTATATGCAAACACACACAATCACACTTGATGCAGTGTGAGTCAGCGTCAGCCTGGAGGGGAATTTCTGGCAGTTACGCTGACTATCATCACCTCGCTCTCCGCTACAGAGAAAGTGAATAGAAACCACATGACGTCGGAGAGACCGTTGCTGCCAAATTGTTGGAGTATCCGACGCAGACATGGGAAGAACGTGAATGTCTAACAGAAAGACCAAGATCCAAACCATTTGATTTGCCAAATTATTTTCTAAATCTGGTCAATCTAAGAATTAGTAAATATGAATCTGAAAAGAGATTTATGATCCACTTTCTAGTTGAATAACTGATGCTAGGTGCACAACTTGTGCCCAGTTCTTCTACACTTATCTGCCTACTGCTAAACATTACCGTTGTGGCTCTTTTCATCATTTATTACAGTTATGAGAACCAGATTCATTCTTTCAAACCATGCAATTGTTGACTATGTGCGATAAAACAATTGTTTTTTAAATCTAATTTTGGATAGTATAATTGTATTTCCATTGGATACGCCCATCTGTTTTTAACTTTGTGTTTTACTTTTCTAAAAAATGGCAACGCAACTGAGCATAAATGCCAAGCATCTGAAACATTTCATCATCCACCATTATTTCTTCACTCAGCATTTTCCTCACTATAGCCAACTACAGCACAGAGCTAATACGACACGACTGAAACCTCCCCATGATTTTACAGGCGCCCCAAAATAGACCACAATGCACCTCAAATTATTATAATTCTCACCATCTGGGGTACGAGTGTGGGCCTTTTCAAATCTTGCGCCACCACCCAGACCCAACTCTAGCCAAAAAACACCATTAAAACATACTACAGCTCAACACTACAGACACTACTTCCTGGTCTGTTACACTAATCAGCAGCATCGGCCCTCTATCATTAACGGCCTCAGGGCTAGACACAGAATGAGGTGTCAGGAAAATCATCCTCACTGTGGAGGGTATCGCTCCGTGTACATGAGAGTAAACCTTGAGCATTGTATCTTTCTAAAGATCCAGACCGAGATGATAAATCCTTGACTCGGGCTTCATAAAAAAAAAAAAAAAACTGAAATGAAACATATTCATGCAGTTGTAGGAGGATTTTAGGGTTTTTAAAAAAGACCAAAATCAATTGATGGATAAAGCATATTTAAAAAATCATAGAAACAGCACATTAAGGACATAAAGCTAATGATTTTGTTCTAGCTTTAATTAACAGTAAAGATCTGATATTACACATTTAATCAAGATGAATCCATATTCACCAATGCAACGCATTATTAAAACCATCAACAAATAGCTCCTGTTCAATACACATGCAGATTAAATACTGTCCAATCAATACTCTGCCATGCCTAATCAATGACTTTAAATATGTCTCGTATGGATGGCAAAGATGGCAAAAACAATTACATACAGACTGCAGAAAACTACTTGTAAATAAGTAGTTTCTAGTTTATTCCACTTTAACTATTCCAGTTAAACTGTAAATGACAATAAATTTATCTTATCAATATATTGCAGTAATGTGAAAAATGTATGCGGATGTGGAAAATTTAATAAAATGCCATTTCTCTTTATTTTGTAATAGATTCCAAAACCAATTTAATCTGGAAAAACAGTGTGGGTTTAATAGTACTGCATTTTGTAAGATAAAACTGATCCAGCTAAAATAATCCTACTGACATACTGTTGGTATCACTTCAGTCATATTTACATAAATCTGTATTTATAATGACCACTGTCAATTGCAGCACTGCTGACATTTCTGTTTGACCTTGAGCTGCTGCCCATAAAGGATATGTACTATATTTTTTATAGCTATCCGATCGGGCATGGCCTTTGGTGTCAAGACAGTAAGTCAACTAATTGACAAGCTGTCAAAATATTGATGACACGTGGTGGTTTTCCTCAAATAGAAAAGCTTAAATGATCCATTCATAAATCAGACCAGTCACTTGGTTTCCAGGATCTTATTTTGGTTCTTGGATTCATTAACTGATCATTTTTTACAATGCAATAACCACAGCTTGTTCCCCTACGAGACAACAAAAACAAATGTGTTTATTCTAACGACATCAGGATACAAGATACAAGAAAAAAAGAGACTGAATTTACAGATTACTCATTCCAGGCCACCTCATGGTGACAAAGCCGTGACAATCAGAACCATTGTGCCACGGAAAGCTGAGGTTTTTCTGTTTTCTGTGGTGGCTCTCAAGTCCCATCTGAAACCCATCACTTTTACGAATTCCCCTTGAAACCATAAAACAACACAGAAAATCATTAAATCTTCGCTAAATTTTTTGAATGCGCTATTTGTGGCTTTTGAATTCCCGTAATCGGCTCATATACACACATGCAAACAAGAGGATGGGGTGGAGAGACAGACGGGTGGAGAAGAAGGAGAGAAATGACTGGATCACGATGGAAACATACATGAATGATGTTTGTCAAAGTTTGTCTCACGGGAGACAATGCTGGTGAAACAACACGTCTACGCTGCCACGTCTGTGGATCACCCCTGGTTCAGTCCAATATCTGCTCTCATTCAATCTGGAACAACTTGGTGATTGCTATGTTTTCATTATGTTTCATGAACGCCCAACTCTTTCTGCTATCAAATGATGAACTTATTTTTGGATTCATGGCTGAAATAAATACATGCATTGGTCAAGGGTCACCTGAAGTCACAAGGAGCAGTCATGTGTGTGTGTGTGAGTGCGTGTGTGTTTGTGTGACAGTCAGGTGCGACTCGTTTGTTTGACATGGATGTCTATTCAAACCTACAGTATTGACATTGCAGTTTGTTGAACCACACACAGATTCTGAAAGGTCCCCTGCAGTCCCTGCCACCACAGCTACTTACAAAAAGCTGATGCCGATCCTTATCATGAGATCAAGTTGAAATATAAAAATATTGAATTTACTGTATTTAGACCCTCATTCACTCTATAAATATAATTATTAAAAAACAAATGCTGAGACTTTTATTCCTCATGAGCGTCATGCTGACTGTAGCTACTGAAAAATCTACCACCAGTTTCTACATCAGTTTTGTTTTTGGATATATAATTAGAACTGAAACAATAAATGTATATACAATTATTTTGGTAACAGATGCAGGACATTAGCTCATCTTATAGCTTCTAAAATCCTCCAGTTATTGTCTATAATTTGAGAGTCTCCCCAGGGGGTCTCCCAAGAGGCTGGAGCCAATTCCAGCTGACATTGGACAAAAAATCAGAGCACACCCAGAAAGAGTCCCAGTTTCTCCGTCATACAGGATGGTGAACTGAATGTCTCTCGGTTTTGGGTTTAAACTGAACAGAACAGGCAGTAAACTGATTGATAATTAAAGAATCATTCCTCTCAGCCCATGTTGTGATTGCCCTAACTATCACAGTTAGTATTGCTGCTGTGTCACAGCACTAATAGCTTTACAGCACCAGTGAGGCTAATTAAAACACACAGAAACACACATAAAACATGGTCTGGAAACACCAGGTCTGCCACAGGTATTTCCACATAAAGACCTCCTCGCCACTAAAGGAATAAAAAGTAGAAGGTAAACTAGACAGGAGGGGGAAAAACAACGAATGAGAGAAATCTCTGATAAATAAAATGGGACAGAATAATTTTGAAAGAAAAAAGTTGGTTGTGAATGTGGTGTAGAAAGAGGAGGAGAGGAGTGAAAAAAATCAGGGCGCTAGATAAGGGAGGGACGTGTTAACCTACATGTGGTGCATGTGTGTTTACGCTTGTGTGAGGGAAAAAAAAGAGAGGACGCTTAACAGCATGCTAAAATTATCAATGGTGAAAGTGTTTCCATGTGTCCTTGCAGTTAAGATCCAAGAGGGTAAAGAAGAAAAAAACAAGAGAAGATTCAATTACACTTCAGTGTTTCAGCTACCAAAGTGCTTGTTAATCAGTGTCACTGTCTCCTCATGGCACCTTTACTGCTGAACTCACAGGTCCAGCGCTCTGACACTGCTGATGAGTGTGTGAACTGCTCTGCTGGGACCTTCTTCAACAACATCTGGGGATGATCAGCTTCATCCACGTCTAAATCCTTCTTTAGGGCCTTGACTACACACAAATGATAGCTCTGGTCGGCCTGGTCACCTCAAATCAGCTGCTGCTGTCACTGGGACAGTGGCAGACGAGCGTTTCATCTGTTTTTAGAACTGTAAAACTGTAACTCGTTGCCAAGGCCATAACATCTTCAATGAGCTGTTTGTATCTATCAAAGTTTTATTAGAGCGATATTAATCAACGTGATGTTTCAGTGTCTGGCCTCTTCTGCAGAACCAGTGGGAGCAAGGTGAGAATGTGGACGATATGTTGAAGTGTATAAATGGCGTTTATATGGATGACTGTCAAAGGAGATGAACTGCTCCTCAGGGACCTCACCAGCATTTTGATCCACACACACAAGGAGAATATTGGCTTTAGCTGATCTGAATACATCAGCCGGTGTATGGCTGTCCTGTCTATTGACTGGAGACATCAGCACTTCTGCACATGCAGGTGAACGGGTGTCATGACTGCTGCTCACACTGACCCCTCAGCATGGCACCATACATCATCCTGCATCGACTGAGGTTTAAACTTGACAGATTCCTATTGCAAGCTAAATATATATATATACTATATGAAAACAAACCAAAAATATGTGCACAGTAAAAACAGTTTTATACCATAAATATGTTTAACAGGAGTTGGTTGCACTTCTTCCTGTCCCACACTGACAGATTGAATTACACCTGTAACATCTGGACATGACTCATGGTATGCCTATGTTTTACATAGGCTATAAAAAACTAAACTCAATATTTGTAATCTGATTAATATCATAGCACGATAATATCATCATGGTATCAAACATATTTTCAGTTTAATATGTTTATTGAGACAAAAAGCCAAAGTTATAGAGTGAAATGTGTTGCTACTGTCCCAGATCTATCTGACTTCTTTCAGACTTAAGTTTAAGTATATATATATATATAGATGTAGTCCAAAACTATAGAAACTAAGAAATGCAAATAGTATATATTAGCCTATTATTACAGATTAATTTGCAGACTATCATATCTATAATGTGACAAAAATCAGTAGATATACTGATAGGATCAGTAAAAAGGATGCTTTTGATGGTGTTGCCTACCTGTACCACTCCAGCCCTTTATCATAAAACCTGTCGAAGAAGTGAGGCTCAGAACCGACCGCTCTCACGTCCGGGTGGATGCGGAGAAACTCCAGCAGTGCGCGGGTCCCTCCTTTCTTCACGCCGATTATAATCGCCTGCGGAAACCTTTTGGTCCCGAAGGTATTGGACACGGGGATGCCGCCGCTCTGCGCGCTTTCATTCGCGCTGTCCGGTGCGCGCTGAGGGAGCAAACGTCCCGTTGGCGCGTCCATCCTCCGTGCGTCCGCGGAGTCAGAGCGGTTCTGCGCTGGTCGCAGGTCGTCCAGTACGCGGCGATGATCGTCCAGAACGTCATAGTCCCTGTCTGCACCCCCCTGACTGTACAGGGTCCTCGGAGCCGAGTCGCAGAATCCGGTGAGGCAGTAGAAGAAGAAGGTGAAGATCAGGACCATGGTGAAAAACACCGAGGCTTTGGACAGCGCCTTCCCAAAGTTGAACCTGACTCTGCCTCCACTACATCCCATGAGTTGATCTCCTGCTCGATGCCCAAGGGCCAAAACGGAGACAGCATGCTTCTTCTTCTTCCTACATTGATCGATTACTGTTGTAAAAAATTATATCGCAGAACCTGTTGCGTAAAAGTGAGCCATCACATGGAACAGCTCCTCTCAGCAGCGGAGTCACACAGAGGATTTCTCAAAAAATGATCTTCATAGTCTTTGTCCAGAAAAGTCTGGTCAGAATGAGTCTAATCCTGCTCAGTGGAGAAAGTTTTATCATTTAACATGACTCGTTTGCTTGAGACTTTGACAGTCTGCTGTATCTGTGCGCTCTGAGACACTAATCCCTCATTCAAGGTTTCTCCTCTGCGTCTCCAACGCCCCCTCCCTTTTTACACAAGTCTCCACCCTTCTCTCCTCAAGCTATAGCATAAACATGGACTCATCAACATGCCAGTGACATATGTGCTACTTCCATTTGCAAAATCACTCCTATATAAATTTGCATTATCATGAAACCTCTTGCAGGCGTGTTAAACCCACTGACTTTGAGACAGTGAGATTGAGAAGAATTGCTTTGAGCCTTTGTTGCGACACCAGCAACAGAAATCGTCCTTTTTGTAGAACTTTGTGACCTGCACAAAATCTTTGTTCTAAGCTACAGGCACATCAGGGTTTTACAAATGTAAACTGACTCCACAGAGGAAAATCCTCCTTGACCCTTTGAACCCATATGATAGATGCATCAGTCGGCCCTGTGAATAAGAGAAGCCTGAGGTTGTCTATCCCTGCGCCCTTAGACTCAACACTGAACCCACTCATAGGCAACAAAGTGACAAGTCTCCTGACACAAACCTTCAGAACAATAGGCCCCGAGCAAGGTGCTGCTCTGCCTCCATCCCATAAATACAGTATCTGAGGCTGAGTGTGTCACCTTGAGGGCTGTACAGGAAGGAGCAGCACAGGGGTGTTCCCCTGATTCTGTAAAGCTGGAGCAGGTATTGAGTTTCTTCTGGCAACGAGATGGAGTTCAGACGTTCAACCTGACTAACGCACCGAGGGCGGCTGTCTGAATAGATGAAGGGAGAGGGAGGAGAGGTAAAGGGAGGTGAGAAAGAGAGGAACACACACACACACACACACACACACACACATTCAGCCCTGGGGCACCGTTTGTTAGATGACATTGGCAAACTCACTTTGGTTTGGCTCATTTAGGATTTTATGTTTTGTCTTTATTTAGCTCTCTTGCTCTGTATTCTCAGAGAGAAAAGGGAGATTGCTTGGATAAAAAAGGATTATTGGACATTTTATTGATTCACTTGTTTGTTTGTTTTTTCTTTGCTATTTTATTTCTTGCTGCATGGCAAATAATTGATTATTGCTTATTTTCTTTCTTTCAACTAGATGAGAAGATCAATACCAATATCATATCTGCCTAATAAATATAAGAAAGGTCACACCACATCCTGTAGTATGACAATTTGACATTTACACTTCCAAATTTTTTCAGATTAATCAAACAAGCTAATGTATGAATTCCGCAGTGGAACTCACATGTTTTTGTTTACACCACCTCAACATCAGCATCGGCACAAAAAGCTCTTTCCTTTGACGACTCGCGAGATTTTTATATTCCAGTTTTGCATCTGTCACATGTAAAAAAAACGTCATCAACATGCTCAATAGCTTGCTGTGAATTTTCCTGCTTTATTCTTACATGACTCACTCCCATATTGTACATTTTAGAATGGGCCTGGCAGGAAAACATGACAACTAACTGGGATATATAAAAGATTTAGTCGTCATGGGACTAGTGGATTCCCCCTGTTGAAGATTTGCGCTTTGCCAAGTTAGTTAATCAGCAAACTTTTCTCATGAAAGCGAAAGAGTTGATCCCAAAACAAAAAAGTAGGCGAAATTACACTTTCCACCTTGTGTGATAAAAACAGTGCTCAAACAAAGGTCTCTGTGGATACTGACACGACCCAGGCAAATATAGAATAATGACATGTTCTGAGGCACAAACAGCCATTGTAACTCCATCCAAAGAGAGGCCAGCCTGGCACTGAGGAATTCACAGCTTTGGAAATGACTGTCTGCTGGCTAGCAGCAGATTCAGTCAGAATGAGGTCAGGATCGGAGCTTTGCTTTCATCAGACATTTTATTTGCTTTTCCCTCATACTAATTGCTCTAGTTGCAGTTAAACTGACAGGCTTGGACCCAGAAGTATAAACAGTGAGATTAAAGAAACAAACAGGCAGCAGTGGTGTTGAGGAAACAAATACGACATGCAAGTTGTGAACTGTGTCTTTCTGTCTGGGATTGTGGTTAGGTAATATGTCTCCCTGTTGATGTGTTTGTGTGCATATGTCTCACTTACTGTGTCTCAGATTGGATGATTCAGTCAGTATACTCGGATGTAGTACCCTACACGGTGTAGTACGCAGTGTACTCATAGTATTCTGACAGAGCAGTGTTGCCTCAAATCAAACACAGCCATGTTGCACACATAGGAAATCCCAATTATGACACACAACTGAATGTCGCCAAAATACTTGCTTGCTGCTTTGCTCACATGACTAAAAGTTTAGCCTTTTACTTTCTTGTGTGCGTCCCCGTATCACACAAAGTGGAAATCATAATGGTCCCACCCCTTCTGCTACAAAGCCAACATGGTGACTGATGAGGGTAAGAATAGCCAATCATTTCACATTCAACCTTTTTGACCAATTTGAGTTCACCATGCAGGTACGTGTAGTGCATACCTGTCAGTGTAACTGTGTGTAAAGATGGACGACATTACTCAAAGTGAAGCCATAGTGTCTCAATTGCCACCTAGGTTATAAATGCCACCTACACTACTCCGGAACATGGACCGAACAAAAAAGTCAAAGTACACGTAAAATTTTTCAAAGATCATTTCAGTCATTTTAGGTAGTTCATCACGCTTTTGGTTTTAGTTAGTTATTTGGTGTTATAAAAATAGATTTTGACAGCTGAGAGTGATTAGTTGAGCGCATGTATCAGTGGGACCTTGCTACCATGGCAACCACCCTATAGCTATTGTGTAGGCTTTGGCTCCAAATGCACAAGATGGCAAAATTACTACCCTGAATATTTTGGCTTAATTCCTGGATAGTGGGAGATCTTTTTATATAATCTATGGCATGAAAACACCATGGCACTCGAAATAACAAGTGTGTGTAGTGACGTTTGCGATTTAAGGCACAGTAATTGTCTTTGTACACTTCACAGTGGGCTCACATTCATGTGTAGGGCCTTTATGGATGCGTGTGCAGTCAAAAGATTATATATCCAACCGTGACAGCAGCAGGCAGGTAGGCGCTGCTGCTGCTGCATCTCTGTGTGAATCGCTGATAGAGATTTCCATAGCCAGAGGCCTGCCGATGGCGGGTACATGTGTCAGCCATTACAGCAAATTACAAATCCTCTCGAGCGAAAGCAGAATGTTCCACTCTCATTTTGTAATTTCCAGTATGAGGAAGAACTTGTCGGTGATTTAAAATAGCCGCAAGATACCCGTCAGAATCCTTAAAGCCATCATGACAGATCTTTGAAACCTCAGACCAGGAGAAGCTCATTTAGTGGTGCAGAGGCATGGCTGTAGTTTCCTACAAATGGAAGCTCATGCTGTCTGGAATGAATATCAATGAGATATTTACTAATAATGAACTCCAGATTGAAGATGTACAGCGTAAGAGTATTTTTTCTAATGTTTTGTATTGGATGTAGCTTTTATGGAATCATACACCAACTCCTCTTTCATCTACTGTTTTTGTCAGAGATGTGGTTTGTAGATTAAAGCAGGGGGTTATTCCAAAACAATTCATTTTAAAGATCATATTGTGGTGTCTGAAGTGCAGCTGCTTTGAAGAAAGAAAAGATGTCACACACACTCTGCAATATGTTCACTGCTCAATTGTTGAACCCTCAGGTAATGAATACAAAAGCCTACAACAAAGCGCCAGTGAAGCCCCACCCTTCTCCTGGAGCCGTCCCAACTTTCATCTGCAAATTCAAGCAATAATCACCAAGACTGATGGTTGGAAGAGGAGACGGAGGAGGGAAGAAAATCACTCTGATCTCTAAAACCATACACAGCTTTCATGGCCCGCACGTTTTCCTGGACTCCTCCCATCCCTCCACCCATCGTGTCCCGCCACCTTCACACAGGTGCATCGATCTCTGTCCCCTGCAGCGGGACTTTTTAGACTCGTAGACCTGCCCGGCAGCTTTATCAAGACATCACTGAAAAGATGAATGTGCTAAAAGATCAGAGAGGAGAGATGTTTGCAGCTTATGCTTCATCCTCAACGGCCTTGAAAGCATTAAACACATAATGCCTCAAGTTTTACATGGAAGTAATTTTATAGCTGAGGAAGAGTTTGCTGCGATTCATTCCAGCTTCATGTGGGTTAGATTTGGGCAGCACCCACTGCCAGGAGGTTCAATTATGTAAATAATATATGTATGGAGATATAAGCCCAAAGATATTTTTCACATAAACAAAAATGCATGCAAGCCATCCTTGACTGCTGGGAAACAGCTGCACAGAACAATTTTCAATGTGTCTTTCATCCTGGCAATAAAAACCAAAATGCCTTTCCAGGAAGCAAGTCTGTACAGGAGTGCCGTGTTTTTTCAAACAGTTATTTACCTTCTCTGGGTGCTCTATTGTAGCAGGAGATTCAGGCGAGCAGGAATCTAAAGAGCACAGGGGGAATTAAAGTGAATGACAATCATGTCATCACACAAGCCACAGACCATTTGGGAAAGGCCTTCTTTGCTAATCCAGAGCTCTGCGGTGAAAAGTGGGATCTGGCGGTCGGCTCCTAAGTGATATTGGGTGCATTGGGAAGGGTGGAGAGCAGGGTGTATGACGGTAGAGTGTGTGTTTCTGTTTGAAATGAGATGAGTGTGACTGAGGTTAAAAAAGAGACAACTGTGATAAGTTCAGTGTACAGTTTCATGCCTCCCAGCTCACTCTGGGGGGTTCCACTCAAGA